CTAGATCTACTCTGACCATCGCCATGTGGATGGGAGGCACCATGTTGGCTAGAACACGCAGGGATGGTGGGATTGAAGATTTCATGAAGACAGTCCCATAGGGCTACAGAAGCCACACCAGGGAACAAATACCTGGGACGCATAAAAGAAACAAATTCCCTTAGTGTTCACTGTATAAAATACACGTGCTAACACACTGCAAAGAGTCCATGTTCCAGAATATGAAAGATAAAGGATTAAAAACTTTCTTCCTTACCTGTACCAATCCCAAATTGGCTTACAACACTCTCAATGATTTACCATAACTGCCTTTTGCTGTATTTAATGATTTCAAATCTTCTAAGGCCGTTATGAGATAATAGATATGTAAATGCTTTGGAAAGCAGAAAGCACTCAACAAATGTTACATGCTATTAGTAATTTAACAAATTTTTCTAATAAAAAGAGCATGTATACCACAGAACTGGCAACTAGAAGATTCTCCTTTTTCATTTTAGATTATCATCTAAGCCTGCATAAACAAAAACAAATTATCACTTCCTTTGTCTCCAAACCAGTTGGAACCATAAAAACTCACCTTTGCACGTACTTCCTTTGGTAATATTCTGGTTTTGTACCCCGAGCTAAAATGTGAGATCATTCTCCCTCGATTTAATTTTTTTGACAGTGAATATTTATACTAAATTTAAATTAAGTGTAAAAGAGCAGATTGATAAGAACACCAAAAACCTTGTAGATCAACCAATAACACCAGCTGTCCAAATTATTCTACAGCATTGCAAAGGTTCCTCTAAGCTGCATATTTATTGCTGGATACATTCCATCCATATGACGTACAAATTTGAGATTTATACTTTTAAACATAATAAGATGGAGTTCTGCCATGCCTACTGGGTGATAAGTAAATGCATACACAACCAATTTGGTTTAAATCTCAGTCCATAATATTTTTGCATTAATCTGAGGCCATACGACTATTGGATGTTTTTTAAGATCAAACACTTAAAATTGTAGGATGCACAATTTCTTTTCTGTATATTTTCTTCTTAAGGTTTCAGAAAACTTCAGGTGACATCAATCTCATGACAAATGTGACAGTTTCACTTCTATTTTGTGTTCTTGTAGAATCCTGATAAAACAAAGGTATTTACTTACATATGATGGTTCTGGATAATGCTTGGTTGTCAGTAAGGGTCAGTATTTAAAATGTGTCTTTGGAATCCTTTATGATTCTTCCCACAGCCACATTCACGACTGAAATATGCATGTATTGATAACACTTTGAAGAAAGGAAACCTCACCAATTCAAATAAAATGGGAAATACTGAGCAGAACTGGTAAACAAAAATCAATTCCAGAATTATTTATTGTTTGTTTGGGTACCAGGGATTGAACTCAGGTCCTTGCGCTTTCGAGGCAGGTGGCAGCACCACTGAGCTAAATCCCTGGCCCTAAAGAATATTTTATACAAATGAATTTTTCCCTTCAAATCACATAATAGCTTGATTTAGGGTAGAAAAGAATAGCATGCCTTTTGCCTTCATCCATAGAAAATACTTTAGAAAGCAAATGTTTTAATTATGTGAACAAGCACTTCTCAAGAGCTGAGAGGAACCACGTTCCCTACATTCTTTAAAACAACAATGTCTAATCTCGGTAGGACCTAAGAGCAGAGCATAAGGACGGTAAATGCTAGTGGTTCTTAGTTCTTGATCCAAGAATTTGAAGAACTTATATCTAAAAGGCTTTACTGTCCTAATAATAAGAATTCTAACATCAGATTTTCTGAAGTATCAGCATGCATCATTATTGCTCAAGAACATATATAATTCTCTTGGTCTCTTTCAAGGTAGGCCAATCTGCTCGTCAGCTGTTCCCTGAAATTTAGCTCCAGAGTTAGTCTTGTTTAACTAATGCACCAGGATCTTTCTGTTCAGAAGTTTTTCACTGTATCCTATAGTTACCAGTTTAAAGTGCACCCTATCGTAACGTTTGTTTATGAGCAACACTGGATAGATTCTGACTTCTGCCGACCATGACTTTGTTTTCAGCCAATGTTTATGCTACAAAATAGTTACTAAATGAGATGCCCGGAGCCCAGGATGGGAGCCACATAATCTTTTTCAGAAAGGAATATTAGAACGGCTATTTGTATATAATTTTATCTAATCTTTAAAATGTTTCTTTTTGTTTATAGTCTCGATGAACATTATAGATCTGTATATTATTGTTATTACTTCATATTTATAAATATCTAAGTTGAAGCTCATCGAAGGTGAGCCTTGACCTATTCTGTGTGCACATTCTTTCTTTCAGATACTGCACGCAAACTTTCAGTTTGTTGTCTTTTTTATGATACTTCTTTCCCCAAAAGACAATAAAATGTTTTCTGCCCAAGCACAGAGATATGCCTTTTACCACCCTTTATTGGCCTCGCATGTTACCTACTTCAGCAAGAGCTGGGATTATATCACTGTTCATAATAATAAAATGGCATGCTCTCTTTATAGCTTAAGCAGGTTTCTTTTTTTTTAATCTTCCTTCAGTACGGTGTTGACTAATCTTATCCATGACTTGAGGTTCATTTGTCAGGTTGTAAAGCAGATTCCAACTCCCCCTCTGAGTGCCATGTGGCCTGATGGAAGCCGAAAGTGCTGTGATTTGTTCCTTATTGGCCTTTTATGCAGTCAGCTCGTCCCCAGGGCTCCCCACCCACCCTCCTGCAATGAGCAACACTGTTAATACAGTTAGAGACAATGTTGGGAGCATATTATGGCCATTGTTGCTCCTATTGATGTCATTTTTATTGCTATAGACTTTTGACTTATAATAATAATCACAAAATGAACAGAAGCCAGAGCTGTGCAACTTGAGCCTTTTTCTTTTTAACAGCTGTTGTCAGCTCTGGTGTGTAACATGTAGGGTTCAATCCTTTCTTTTCCCAAAGTAACACGATGTAGTTGTTAGAGACACAACTGGCCGGAGGATGGTTTTCCTTCATTTGCAGTGAGTGTCAGGGTGGATGCTCTGCTTGTTTAAGGTGGGGAGGAGGAGATGTGTGCAGGAATCTCCTGTGAGGGTTCAAACTGAGTCTTTTTTACTACTACTGTAGAAATCCTGGGGTAGCAAGCTGCTAATAAATAGCTGAATAAATAAATGAACTAAAGCTAAAAGTCATTTTTATTTAGCACAATTTTGTAATGACAAATCCCTAATTCTCATTGATTCATCCAACAGCATAGGTTTAAGTATCACTATCAGAGTGCTGAGTTGATCACTAGGAACAAAAATGTCTATGGGAGAGGCAGTGAAAAGATTATTGCAAGCAGCAATCTGCACATAATGATCTATGCTTTTGTTGTCATTTATTGAGACTCGACTGATATCCAGAAGCTAGGTCAAGAAATAAACATAACCTTGGCAAGCTCATATCAAAGAATGAAATACACACGTAAACAAAAAAACTACATTTAAAATCCAGATATCCAATTGATTACTCCTATAAATAGCCTAATGTGTATTGAATGATAACCCCATTGACCCACTACCACGATGAATAGAAATTATTCTCTCATGATGAGGAGCCATGCCCACAACACAATATTTTGCCTTCACTTCCTTTGGGCTAGTGGCATACCCTTGTAGATGCTGTGATAGAATTAACTTTACTCTGTGCTTCACCAAGGCATAGGATTCTGCTAGCTTTTATCTCAAACACTGAAAGGACCCTCTGGCCTCATTGGCACTATTCCCCAATCAACTGACCTAATCCCCTGTGGACTCTATATTTGATCCAATAATAAATGCATGATGAAAGAATCATAAGAGTTATAAGTTTATGACTTGGACAACTTTTCCTCCTTTAAATTCTGACATGATCATAATATTCCTTATCTTGATAGAGGTAATTGAAGGTCAAGACTGTTACTGGAATTTTTAAGGGTTTACCATTTACTCACACTTTACCCTTATTTCTGACCTGACTTGAATTATATGAAGTAATATCCACCAAGCTTTTTTAAAACTTTTAAGCTTATGTTTCCTGTATCTGGGTTTTTATGATGTTGCACTGGAGGTAGGACCCTGAACACAAAGTCTAATAAGTTCCTGGGGGTTTTTTTCTTGAGAAATTAAGTTAAGGAGAAAAAACTGAAGGCTAAAATATAACTGACCATAGCATAGGATTAGGTATCTGTGGTACTTGTTTTACTTTTTCCCTTTGCAGAGACCCTGTGAGGCTGTATTCTGTCACTGTACAGTTTAGCAATCTAGGTTCAAAAGCAGAGGCCAACTCAGTCTTGATCTAAAATGAAATCCGTGCGGGGATGCTCATCTTTGCTATAAAGCAGGCATGTCGAACCTTTGGAAATCACCACATCTTAAAAGTGGGAATTGAAAATGAGTTTTCATGAAGTTGACCAGCTTTATCCCAAAATAAACCTATGTGCCACAAACATATGTAGGAGGAAAAACAAAAATGAAATATTGATTTTTCTGTGAATCTGAATCTTTTCTGAGCACTTGAAAACTGGTGTCAGAGCAATTGTTTTTAAGAAGAAATTTTCTGAAAACAATCTGATGATTATTTTGATATCATCAGTCATATTTATCACTTCTTTTATCAGAGTGCATACTACAGAGCTCGGATTTTATTTCCACATCCTTCTACTGAGATATATACACTAACTTTCAAAGACAAAAGATAAACTTTATGAAAATATATCTTCACTCTAATATTTTATTCTTCCTTTTATAAATCAAACAAGATGAAAAGTTAAAAACCCTTCATAGTGATTTAGGACACATTTAGAATATAAACAATATTGAACCACATACATTAAACATGGTGTTGTTTTTTTAAAAACAAAAATATAGATAAGCTAATTGGGTAGTTATTTTGATAGGGTCAAAGATTAATTATGTTTATCTGAAAACTGCTTATAATACTACTTTGGATGCATGAAGCAACAAACAAACAAAAATAGAATTCGACTCTCGGTGTGCATCGCCTCTCAGAAGAAGTAGGTGTCCCATGAGCTCCGCATGTCTGCAACTTGGAAGTCGCCCAGTTCGCATCCTTCTCCTGTCCCTGGAGCATCAATCATTTCCCACATGGCACCTGGACCTGAAATGCTGCTGAAGATTAATATATGTTTACAGCAAAAATTTAAAATTTAAAAAAGCTACCCAAATGCTTCTTACTTTGTAACAAGGGGAAAAAAAAAGAAAGCAAGCTTGTGCAGGGTTTTTGTTGACGGTCTGACTCTTCTCTGCCATCTGATCACCCTGCCAGAAAACCTTTCCTCTTTGTCCTCATTGTACCTGGTAAGTTGTTCTTCCTGGCAATGCAGCTACACAACTGCCAGCCCTTCTGATAATGATTATGGTTAATTTTTTCCAAAGATGCTGTTGTTCAGTAATAAAGTTTAATCATTTAAAAAAATAGATTATGTACTTTTACTCCCGGTTTTAATGAAGCGTTTGGACAAGCAGAATTATTTGTACCTATTGTCTCTGCTCTGTTTTTTAGAAGGTCATTATTAGTATTTTCCCAGATGAACCTGCTTCTTTTTATTTACTAGTCTAAAGGGCAAGCCTACGGAATAAAGACTCCAGTGCTCTCATCTAAAAGAATTATTTCACTTTTCTTGTATTTCTATTACAAAGAAAAGATAAACACATTAACATACTATTGATACATTACATCTCAAGTCATTTCATGGGTTAAATCATGAAGATGTAATCGATGCTGAGGTCCTACCGATAAACAAAAATATTGTGTTTATTTAGACATTTTTGATCATATAACTGTATAATATATTTAGTGCTTTCTCTTTTAAATTAATAAAGCTAGAAATATCTTCCTAGATAATAATTAAACTGCTATTAAAAATAATGTATATGCTCGAGTATGACAGGTGTTAACACTGAAAGAAATAATTGACGTGTGCTGATTGCTTGCCATTTGGCAAATTCTTTTACATATATTCTTTTACTTATTTTTCACAAGATTGCTTCAAAATTAACATTAGCATCTCTGGCTTTATATATGTGAAACTGATAACCAGCAAGTTTCTATAAATTTCCCCAAGTCACAGAGCTGGAAGCAGGAAGACCACGATTCAACCCTGTGGCTGTCTTGACGCAGGGCCTGCCCTCTCTCTGCTGTGCTACACCACTCAGGTTGGTTTTTGAAACTATCTCATTCAAATCTCCCACCCGGATACAAGAGGAAACTGAGGCACGGGAGGGAGCCACCCTGACTTATGCTGGAGTTGGGACTCTGGGCGTTCCTCACGCCAATGCCATTAGACAGCTTGAAGCCAACTTCGGGAACTAAAGGACTGAGTAAGCAGGCAGAAGAGTGGGAGGATACAAGACATCATCCACCAAGAGCCAACATGGTAGTCAGGAAATGGGGCACTGGCCCTGCCCCGTCTTCTATGGCCTCAGTGATCCTGGACATGTCACTTAACTTCTCTGTGGACCTGACTGTCCTTTTCTAAAATGACTGAGCTTCCTGCCTTACAGAGTTGCTACAAACACAGAATGAGGAAATATACTCAAAAATTACTTCAAATTATGGGAAATTTTATAATGTAAATAACTTAAAATCCATGGCAGGGTGCGCTCAGGTGTGCACAGTTCACAGCACATAGACTAGGCAGTAACTTCACGAGGCAAGCTCCACAGGGAGACGTAGGTGACACCAATTCATCCTCTCTGCACAGCAACGCTGAGCCCACTGCTGCACAGGACGAGTCCAGTCTGGCTGCCAGGCAACAGAAGCCAGACAGCACTGGCCCTGGAAGGCTTGGCAACTCCAGAGGCTGAGAGGGCCAGCCCTGGACAGCGGTCACTCTCTCATACAGCCAGGGTTGTCGGGTTCCTGCGCTTATAGAGACAGGAAGGAGGGAAAGCATCCCAGCTGAGCATCAGGAAACAATTCTCTATCTAGGTCTTTGAGACACAGTTCATTTACCCAATGATTTGAACATTCTGAATATAGGAGACAATGGTGACCACAGATTGAAACAGGCCAACTTTAGTGAGCAGACAAAGGATAGAAAGTGGGACAAAACTTGCCATTCAGGGAAGGATCGATGATTAAGGACTAACATGCAGTCTACTTTCAGTTCGCATAATGCACCGAAGTTCCTTTCATAGAACCTGGAGGGCCAGGAATGTGCAATTGGACACAGTCTCCTGAAAATGACATGTGTCCTTCGGAGATGACACCCTGCCTTAGAATAACTCTTACTTTGGGATTTCCTGTGTGTCCATGTCATGTTTCCCTTGGGGCACTCTTGGGAAGTAGTCCAGTGCGTCATACGGCAGGACGCTGGGACGCGGAGGAGCCGGCTGTGCTGTCTGCTGGCATCGACACAGCAGTTCAGACCCAGGGGTCTTGGGCTCCTCACCACCACCCCAAGACGCTCCCCTAAGCAGGGGTGTGGGGCAGTGACCTACGCATCTGTGACATGCAGGCTGGATTGATAAATGTAGCGAATCCTTGGTGTATAAAAATCTGAAAATAAAATATTTTTAAAAATAAAAACAAAATCAAATGTTTTATGTCAGCCACTTTAGAATCCCAGATTCAAGCCACAATTCCTTCTGAATCCAAAGGAAAGTTTTAGCTTAAAGGGAAGACTGTGAGGTAACGAGTTTAACTCTTCCCAGCTCAGATTGCAAACAGTCTTTTAACCTGGGGTATCTTCATGTCCCTTCTTGTCTAGCAGGATTGTCGGAAGTGCTGTTTTTGAAGTTCCATCAATCTATTAAACATTAGACAGAAGGTTTTAGGAAACAGGCCATGTGTATTGTGACGTACAGTCCTGGAAAGAAAAATGATCAATCTGTGTATTTGCCTTTTAACTAGTTGTAGACAAGTTGGCCACATCCTTGGCACATTAATGAATTCTGTCATCCCGCATCCCCACTGCTCTCTTATTATACGAATTCAGATCTCTGTTTGGCAGTAAAAATAAAGTCCTTGAGTTAAGTTTCTCCTTTCAAGCTAGGGCTCATCATCCTAATAACCGAGAGGCTGGATACCATACGGAAAAGAAAAAGTTTTGCCATGTGATTTCTGATGTGTAACTTGAACTTGTTTTTAGAATTTTCTATAAGATATTCTGAGACGTATTTTTGCAAGTACTTCCTTTCAGCGAGTCCTTGGTCCTACACCTTCATGGAACTGCTTTTTCCTTCTTAAGAAAAGAGAGTTCCAGATATATGCAAGAATTTGGAATGTTATGGAAAATACAGGGGCTCGTACATTTATTCATGAATAGCTGTAAATGTCAGTTATTTAAACCTTGACCAGTACCAAACCATTCATGTGGCGCATTTGATTTCTCCTGGGTTGCAGAGGAGTGATTGGAAAGATGGGCCAACAGGCCATCTACTTCCCCACATGCTGTCTCGCTCCTGAAGAGGCCTTTCTAGAAAATAGGGCTACTTTCCCTAGCATCTGGTCTCTTTTATCTGGCACATTGATTCCTGGCTCCTTTTTATCTAGGACAGCCTATTTATAAATCAAATATAACCACTTAGATCTTTCCACTGGTAGCCTCTCTCCCATATTTAAATTAGTCTAGGATGTGTTCAAGTTTTCCCCAGTGACGTGTATTAAGAATTTAAAGATCTTTTTCATTCATTAGATAACGCTAAGAGAACAAACGGTGAACAGCATGTGCATTATATAAAGATCTACATATTTCAGACATGATCTTGAAGTGAAATATCTTCTCTCACTATCTATACTGTGAAATGTATGTGCTGATTTGAACAAACTATTTCTCTGCATTACAAAATTTTTCTGCCTTTTTCAAGTCAGACTATGATTTTGTAAATACTAACAGAGAAGCCCAACCAGATCAATTTGATTAACTTCAGATTCATTTTTCTGAACTGTGAATTATAAAATATTTTATTTCTTAATGGCAATATCTCTATCTTCATTCCCTCTACCTTAAGGATCCTTTGCCTTGGAACAATTTTCATTAATTCATTGATTTAAGAACTATTTATCTGAATGCTACTGTTTAACATAAAAGTAGCATTGTCCCTACAGCAGACACAGGCTCTTACCCTCACGAAGCAGACCTTATAGTAGGGGAGAGAGATGTGAACAGACAAGTAGCAAAAACCTACTGTCTGTCATTAATCCCAGGAGCACATATTTTTCTGTTTGAATTTACCTGACACAGGCCACTTTTTGTAGTTGACACTTGACAATCACTGTTGGCCAGGGGACAATGACCAGGGTGCTCAGGCACAAACAGCAAAAGCAGTCTCCAAAACTACAGAATTCAAGTCAGCAGCTGCACGGAGACGGCACATAACAGTGGAGTGGTCTTCTGGCTCCTAGAAACCAGTTCTGAAGGGGAGATGGGAAGAGACAGGACCCTGTGTTTACCAGGATCCCCAGAATGCAGATTTTAGTCTGTGTTTCTAACAGTATCTTCGCTGAGAATTCTCACGTGATGGAGAGGGGTAAAAGAACCTTTCTCCTCCAAGACACAGCAGCAAGGAAAAGACTTGCTTGGTATCTGGTCGTCATTTCTTCAGGCTGAAAATACAAAGTGGGAATCCTTAGGTCCTCGCATTTCAGAATTTCTATGTGACATATTCTCCAAAGGGAAATTTGTCTTTTCACAACATATAAAGTAGAATTTTTACTGATAGAGTATGAAGCATTTAGACCAAAAAAAAAAAAATGACAACATAGCAAAAAATATAAACAGACCCTCTTGGTACACACAAGACGCTTCCCCAACAGTTCAACCTGTTTCCCACCTCCCAGTGATTCATTATAGATTTTTCTAGAACTTGCCAGCTAAATTTTATCATCAGATGTTGGAAAGTGAGTGTCCTTCCCTGCATCTATCCCTAAATAGTACTGTAAATTATGTGTTTATTACAGTTCCTAACAATGTCCAAGCATTATCCACCCAAAAGAGTATTTTCGGGTACTGCTTTGAGACGATATTTACTTTATTCCTAAGTGAAGTCTGAAGTTATTTCTCATATGTCTTTGTGATGGGAGTATGATATGTTACTTATCTTTTTCTTTTGGCAAGTTTTCTTTTAAACTGTCTGGAGGACTGTGGCAGCATGCAAGACTTCTCCCCAGAGAAAACAACCTTTGCTACTAAGTCACTGATGACGGATTATTTATTTCAGTCCCAGTGTGTAATGTCATTGGCACTTAAATAATGACTCTGTCTTTGAATGTGTAGCTTTCAAGTTTTTATTTTATGCATTAAATGCACAGCTGTTGTTTTACCCTTGACATTGCCATTTATTTGGTAAGGAGAACCTTCAGAATTTTTTTTTAATAAAGCAAACACAATTCCACTTTCAGCAAATTCTGCAAGCTGTCTCAACTGCCTATGGTGACACTATCAAATGACAAAACACAGCACCTCCTAGAAAGCAGAACTGAACTTACCTTATAAAAGTAAAACACATGAAACAACACACACACATACATAACAACCCTTTAATGATACTTCAGTGAATGCAGAACAGGACCAGGATTATGCATTCTTTGAACTTTCATTATATTGTAGAAATATCCTTGACAGCAAAAGACAGCAATGGGAAAGAACTATGAATTAGCAAGTGTTAAGAGCTTGCTCACTTGATTCTAAGACCTATGCCTATACGAAAGAATAGGTTGCCCCCCCCAGTAGACAGGACCAGCCCTGAGCAGCTTTAACCAACTAAAGGTGCCTATATTTGTCACTTCTTGTTGCTGGGACAAAATACCCAGTGCCCACAACTTAGAAGAGTGTTTTGGCTCACATCTTCAGTGGCTTCGGTCCATGGCTGGTTGGCTTCAAGGCAGAAACAGCATGGTGAAAGGGTCTGGAAGGGGACAGCTGCCCACCCATGGCAGCCAGGAAGCAAGGATGGAAGGGAGAAGCTGGGGAAAGTCTACCGTGCAAAGGCCCAGTGATCCACTCTTCCAACCAGGCCCCACCTCCTAATAGCACTTCCAGAGGTATAAATATCAGGAGACTAATCTACTAGTAAGTTCAGCACCTCCAAGACCCAATCACCTTTCAAATACATGAGACTTTGGGGGGCATTTTAGATACCACAAGTGCCCAATTAAGCTATTTTTAGTAGTGACTCAAGTTTTCTATCTAGATTCAGTTTTCTGTGAGTCTGAAGACCCAACCAAAATTTCTCATTCTTTAAAATTTCTCTTTGAAATATGTTATATGATAATTCAAACTATTCTTTTTTCTTACATTCTTGAGAGGGGTAGATGTTACGTTGAAAAATATGTATAAATTTTGAAATCAGTGAAGCCTCAGTTAAAATTTTGTCTACATTACCTAATATTTATGTACTCTGTAAAACAATTACTTATTCCTGTAGTTTATAACTATGAAATGTGGCTAAAGATGAGAAATAAATAACAGGACACACACCATAGCAGGTATTCAATAAATATTTACTTTTACAGTCTCTACCCAGTTTCTTTCTCAATAGACAAACTATTTCAGCAACTCAATCCTCTTAAAAAATTTCATCCCATTAGTTGAGTTTTAGTAATGGAAACAGATGATAATTTAATAAGAAATTATGACATAGAGAGGTAAAATAAAATTAGCATAGTTTAATTAAAGGAAAAACTATCCAAACTGTAGATTATCAATTTCTGGTCTTTCTGTAGCTAGGCATCCTTTAACCAATTTCTCTCCAAATCCTATTTAAATACAGAGAAGGTAAAATTACATCCACACCAGAACTGGAGACTTACAGATAAAATAGTACTGACGGGATTTCCACGGAGATGAAGCTAAAGTTTAAAAGAAGCTGTTCTCAAGGCGCAGCCTCCTCTAGCTTGAAGAATACATGGAACACATTTCCCTCCTCCTGCTCTCCGCCTCCTGTGCAAGACATAAGACATCAGCAGAACTGGTCAATAAGCTGAGATCATTGGAGCAACCTACAGAGAATCCAAAGATGGGGCAGGGTGTGGCCACTGAAGTCTCGTGAAGGGGACAAGTGCAGTTGGTCTTCAGACCCCCAGATCCCTGCACCATAGCTTCTCATCACTCATGGAACCAGATGTCCCTTGGGTCCTGTCGTCATCTATAAGTTCCTGAAACTTAGCATTTAGTTCCCTTTTGCTGGGAAGCTGGGTTCTGAGATGACCGGGACTCTTTTCCTCCCTTAGCGATTTTCATGGGAAGACTGTAACTCCCACAGCCAGGGGCTGGAGAGGGAGCTCGGTGGCCCCTACCCCCAAAGGTGGGAGGCACCCACCTCAGTCAGGTCCCGGATGGAGGAGCAGCCACCGCAGAGGCAACTGGGACAGGACTTTAGGTATCACTATTGTGCTCGAGCACACTTTGTGACTACACGCGGGATAATACGGCAGTGACGTAAAACCACGTAGACAAAACCACACCGAATCGGATTCATGTCTGTGATAAGCAGAAGTTGGGCTCAACATGGAACAGACCAATCTGCTGCCCACCGATAATTCAAAGAGAGGAATCTACCCAGTCCCGGTGGAAAGCGGTTGCCATGGAATCAGGAACTCTGTTTATTACAGCTTATTTTTATGGTCTGGACTAACAAGTGCATGGTGTTTAAGACTTCGTTTGTTGCGTGAATGAGAAAGGAGAAACCAAGGGCAATCCTTTTCTGTTTCTAAATATGAAACCTGTGTGCATTTCTTCTCCTTCAAGGATGAATAGAAGGTAAATACAACAACAGAGGCCTATGAAAAATGTTATATTAAAGAAAATATTATCCAAAAGATGAAAGTTTTATTCCGAGTCAAATTATTTATTCCAAGATGAAAAATTGTGATGCTTTCAATTTTATACCATCAATCATAAGAAAAAATATACGGGGACAAGGCAAGAAAAGGAGATGAACATAAAGCAGGAATAATGTCAAAGTTAGAAATCAACCTACAAAAAAAGATTTAAAAAGGGGAAAAGACTTAAAATAATTTCAAATACTAGCTTTGAAAATAAAAATTTCAACTAAATGGCAAAATACTAAAATGTTAAGTTGTTTTGGACTACGACTACTGTTCTTATTTTTAATTTCCCATTTTTCTAAAACGAGATTGGTTTATTTAAAAATAATTTTAAAATCATTTTACATAAGAAACAATATGCTAATTAATGTCGATAAGAGTACTTGGATTTTTTAAAATCAGAGGTCAAAATGTGTATAGACTTCTTTGTTCTTTGAAACAAAGTTTGTTAAATTCACTTGTATCTTTTGACCTAGTAATTTTCTAGTTCTAGGTTGAGGCAGGAGAATCATGAGTTCGAGCCCAGCCTGGTCAACTGAGTGATGAAGCCAGAACTTGACTCAAACTAAAAAAACTTTTAACAGTGTTGCAGATGTAGCTCAGTGTAAGGGCCTAGTGTTCAATTCCCAGTACCACCAAAAAAAAAAAAAAAAAAAAAAAAAAAAAAATGTCTGTCACAGATTAGACCTTCCCTAAATTTTAACAATTACTATTGTTTAGTATAGGCACTGCCGAAGTGAGCACAACAGTTACTATTTTTGAAGTTGTATGAAATATTTATGATATCATAACATCACATAAATAAAGCAGAATACACGGATGTGTGTGTGTGTGTGTGTGTGCATCAGTGTACCGGAAATGGCCCAGCAGTATGAGCTGCAGGTGCCATCCCATCGCAAGCACCAGAATCTCACCCATAGCAATGAACTGGGAGTTACTATTCTTTGTATTTCTGCATATTTGCGAGATTGCCTACTTCACTTTTAACATCAAGAAAAGAAAAGAAACAAACACATAAAAAGCTTCACACCATGGTAGTTTTCAAGTAGCACCAGCAGGACCCATAGTAGACCTTTAACACATACTTGTATAATAAATGAGTAAACAAATGAGTGAGGACTAGTTAATCCTGTGTCCTCAGTCACTCTGATAATCCTCCCAAAGCATGACTTTTGTCCAGAAAACCCTTTGCTTAGGGACTTTCAGATTCATTTGAAATCAACAAAATGAGCCCAAGATTTCCCAAAGAAGGCAGGCAAGGATCTAAATGACCTAGAAAATGACCTTTGCTTTTTGGTTCCCACTAGTTTGTCCTGGTCCTGTATGCCACTGCCCTGCGAAGTTACTTCGAAGTCCAAACAAAATGCACGGTTCTGTCATTAGTTCTTGCTTCCCTCCACCCCCATCAGCTACCCAAGCTCTGAGACCCAGGTAAAGGACTTTGCCCAAATCCAAGTCACAAGTACAGTCCTTGCTGGGTTCTCCTAATTTGACATAGTGTTTATACATTTTAATATGACTTGTTAGTTCCTGTCCTTAAGATATTTTATTGTTTGATTTGATAGCCAGTAAAAATTATTTTGTTTTAGCCACATTATTTTTCTCCTTTTAATCCCAAAGCAGATGTGTCTCTTCTTTACCTGTTGAGAAAGAGGATGAAATATTTCCTCACTTTTCATACTTAAAACCAGTTTACTCTGTAAAAGCGCACCTCTTAAAAATTCCAAAGGCACCATTGGCTATACAGTAAATAGGTAGATGATAAGTAAAACTCTGTCTCACACAACCCCTTGTTCCCCAGGCCAAGAAACAACCATTTTGCAAAGTCTTTGAATATCCTTCGTCGCTCTTCTACACCTGCAAGAGAGTATGCATATATCTTTACTTTTCAACACAGAGGTAAAATTCTACAATTCCTCTGCTCTCACTTCACTGTTCAGGGTTAATGTGTTTGGGAGGTTGTTCCATATCAGTATACCACTGCTTCACGTAGCTGCATAAAGTGTCATTATGTAAATGCACTAACATTGAGTTAAGCAGTGGTTATTAGTCTTGAGTATTTGCATGGCTGTGGTATTTAGAGTGGAGTGTCGACTTGACTGGCTTTGGGACCTGCCTGGGGACTGGTGGGCACACTTCTGGGTGTGTCTGGTGAGCCATGCAGGTGGCCTTGGGCTCTGTGTCTGGTCCCCACTCTTCTCCAGCACTGTTCCCCCACTCTGCTCCTTGGTGCTGTAACCAAAGATCTTTGCTCCACCATCCCCTTCTGCCAGATGTTCCTGCCTTACAGCCAGAGGATCATGAACTGAACCCCTGAAGCCAAGAGCCAAGTTAACCCTATCCTTGTTTAAGTAGTGGGTATCGAGTACTGTGTCACAGCAGCAAGAAAACAGACTAAGACAATTGTGCACACCTCTTTGTAACTACAATGTGAGAATATGTGACCCAAAGTATAGGCCACTTCACACATGAAAATATATCCGTAGACTAAATTCCTAAATTTCACCTCATATGCAATTTGAATTGTTACAAGAACCTCAAACTCAGTTTCTTTAGTTTCAAAACAAAAACTTTTTCTGCTTTGTAAGATCATTGAGTTCTGAATTAAGGTCAGTTGATATATGTAGGATGTGACATTGTCCTAAATAAGAATCATATGTGATTTCCTTCTTAAACTTCATTTTTCTTATAATCGTGCACATTCTTAGGTTTATCATTGCTTTTGTTGGAGTTTTAAAAGTAGTTTCACATCCAGTATACTTTCTATTGAATTTATGTTTTATAGATAATAGTTATTGATTTTTGTGTATTGATTTTAGGCCCAGTGACTCGTTGAATGTCCTGTTCCTTTTAAGCTCTTTTTTATTTATATGGTGAACAATTACATTACGTCTAAATTTCATACTGCATTTTCCTCACGCAATTTGTTGCTAGTACTTCTAGAATATAGTTAAGTAATAGTCTAGCAAGGTTAAATGTCCGATGTGGTAATAACGTATTGTTTACTTATTGTGTGGTTGGAGCCTAATTGTTCATAACATTTCAAATTTTTATATCAAAATTTGTAAGTGAAATTAGTGTGGGATATTTTATGACATTCTCAGATGTTGATACTTTTATATGTAATTATAACTATCATATTTATAATTTTATTCAAGAATGTTTCCTCTTCCTTTCTCGTGTCTTGAAATGGTTAGATAAGCCCGTGAAGCTGTCTTGTCCATGTCTCTGTGTGTGGTGAGTGTGAACGGCAGAGTTGGAAGAAGAGCTTGTGAAGTGGGCTTTTGTGTGTATTTCCTTCTGATCGAGTCATCTGAACATAATCTTTGTGGCATCTGCCTTATATACCTAAAGGCCCTAGCCAGACACTAGCGTAATTCCCTTCGTCTCTTAAATTTTTCCGAAGTTCCTCGTTTTTCTTTGGAGTTAACGCCACCCGGGAGCCCTGCTAGCTTGTGCGTCGCTGTTCAGTGCCGTGGCTCTTCAGGAGCTCTGCAGGAACAAGGCCCTGTGAGCTTCGCTTGTGCAGCGCCCCAGCTCCCCAAGACTCCCAGAAGAGCGGCGTGGTTCTGACAATCGCTCAATACTCATGAAGATGCCCGTCTTGTTTAAATTTAAATTAAAATTTTAAATCAGGTTTCAGATCGAGAAGAAACAATCAGAACAGTAAAGACAATGGGAACATTTTAAATGTAAAATGCAGATGCAGAAGTTCCACACTCTGTTAGCTAAGAGAGACGCTGAGAGGAGATGAAACAGTGGCCCGCTTAGAAACCAGACAGGCTTTCTTTTACCTTTCTCTTCTTGCCCCTTTATGCTGTTTGTATTCCTGTAAGATTGTGAAATACTGCAATCGAAAATTATGATTTTATTGTTATTTTTCTAGTATCTTATCAAGCATGGAATCTCAATATTCAGGACTTGCCGTCATCCTTGTAGTGTTTAAAAGTGATGCACAGACCCCAGCATTCCCCCACTTTCCAGAATTTCCAGAATGTCTAGCTGAATTTTTCATGATTGCTATGCCTTCTGAGATCTTTATAATTACATTTCATTTCCCTCTTTGCTTTATTAACTTTATCAGCATTAGCCCTTCTATTCTTTGATCCAGATACTAATTTCTTTTGGTATGCTTTTTCTTCAAACCTCTGGTAACTTTTGATTGTACACCAGGGCTTGTAACTGAAGTTCTACATTTGCCTGGGTTTGGATGCTGTAAAACTTAGGCAAACCTCCTCCTAATGACGTCTAGGGAAAAGATGGATGTAGGATCCGGTGGGACTTGCTAGTTACCTGTCTCTAGGGTATGGGAGGTCCAGAGTTTGGGTCGATGTTCTTAGCTGCTCACAGAACATCTTCAGACTAATCTTTGTTAAAAGGGTACAAAGAAACGAAGTCACTGGGCTGCATCGTGACACTTAGTCGTTCCTGTGTCACCCTGAGGGCTCCTTTGGCTCACCTCCCAGGCTAGAGCGGCCTCGGCTGTGAGTCTTTCAGGTGCAGAGAGCACCCGGTGGGATCGTTGTCAGTCCAGGGGCCTCCTCTCGTTTCCGCGGTTCACAGATTCTGGTTCAGGGAAGATGAGCGCTTGTTCCCACCAGTAGGAAGTAAATATGTGTATAATACACGTGTTGGGAGTGGATGCGTGTGAATATCATCACACAGGTTTGAAGACTACCAGTATTCTTACTTTCCAAATTAACTTCTGTGTGCACACAGGCACACACGTCAAAATATACTATAAAATGAAAATAAATAATATGAAATAAATACCTATTTTTCCTGTGGTTTTAATGCTCATGTGCTTTTCAGTGACTTGAAAGTAAATCCTCATTTAAAAAATGTTTTCTAGAGTAGTTTTAGGTTCATAGCAAAAACTAGATGGAATATGTAGTTCTCATGGCACCCGGCAGCAGAGGGCTTGTTCTTGTTGGCTCAGGTTCAATA